CCTGTGCATGAAGGGCAATGTTGGAGCCACCCAGCAAACAGGTGGCCCCCGAACAGATGTGCCAGCCCCCCCCAAGCTTGCAGGCAGAAGCACCTCTTCTGTGCCCACCAGAGGCTTAGTTGGGCAGCGCCTGGCATAGAAGCCTCAGGCCGGGGAGGGGTGACAGTCACTTCGGGGTAGTGAGGGTGTCCTCTGTGTGGGGACACAGATGAGATTTCAGCTGTGTGTCAGCGGCCTTCCCCATGGTGGTCCCTGCCCCCCTCCCATATCTGCAGGGTGGAGGGTGGGGGTGGAGGAAGCAGGTTGGCGAAGAGGGAACTCCCAGTCCCAACAGAGGTAAAACCAATCCCCAAAGAAGAGCTTTTCGTTGGTTTGGTTTGTTTACGCTGTCCTTCCACTGTCCCTTATCGTTAGGGTTGAAAAACCATGAAGTCCGTTTCCTGCCACCCTGCACACTCCCTGTGACGTGTGTGGGCTGTGACGGAAGGGTAGACCACAGGGCAGCTCTCTGTGCATCTCTGCAGACGTGGATGTCTCTCTCTCTCTCTCTCTCTCTCTCTCTCTCTCTCTCTCTCTCACACACACACACACAAATGTGCCTGGAAGTGGAGGTCCCCTGGTGACATGATCCACCTTGCTAAGGACCCAGCCCAGGCACAGAGGGCTCTGTCCACATGCCGGCTCGTCCTTCTACACACACACCAACTCCGGCCTTGGTGTGACGCGTCTCAGAGCGCTCTGTGGAACGCTTGGAGGTGGGGTGGCCAGGGTGGCCTGTTGCAGAAGAGAGTAGGCTTCTAGACAAGCTTTCTCATCCACAGAGCTCCCATGAGTTTGGGGGGCCTGGAGGTCGCAGGGAGTTGGGGGTGGTTCGTGAGTAGTTTTGTAGCAAGTTTGTGGTGAGGTTCTCTCTCTGAGTAGAGGGGAGACCCTGGGGTGCTACTGCCTCCCCAGGCTTCACAGCCTCCTCCCCACAAGCCAGAGAAGTCCTGACTTGCCAACCTCACCCCTGCACACTGCCTGTGGGAAGCCGTATCCAGAGCAGGCTGTGCCCTGAGTTCTGACTCGATGACCCTTCACTGGGATGGATCTGAACTTGACAGGGACGCCAGGACGAGAGGCCCACCTGCAGCCCCGCCTGCAGCCAGGGCACAGCAGGCGAAGCTGTTCAGCCCTGGGTGTGAACATTGGCCCTCATTCATCAGAGCCGCCACGGGCTGGGGCCCCACCAGATGTCAGGCTCCCCTGGGAGCTCTCCCTGCTTCTGCGCTGATCGGAAATGGACTCTGACTGCCCAGTGCTCCTGGCCTCCACCGGCTGGGGGTGCAGAGGTCTGGGGAAGTGTTTTGAGCTGCCAGGAGGGGGTGGGGTTGAGAGTCCCGGGAGGAGCCGCCTCCTTGCCAAGAGTGGAGGGGTCGAGGAGCCACGGAGGGCCCACCGCCCCCTCTTAGCAGCCGGACCTCACCCTGGAGGCCCTTTCCTTGGTTCTTTCGTTTCCCCTTTTCGGGGGGTTGGCTTCAAATTATCTTATTTTGTTTACATTACACCCAAGTTTCGTGGTACAAAAGACTTGCAGGTGCAAATATGTCCCGCCTTCATTAACTTCCCCTCCCTTTTTAATTTATGTGATTTCAATTTTCCTTCCCTGTACTGTTAATTAGGGGACCCTCTAATCAGTGCCATTATCACAGTGGTATTCATGTTTAGGAAAGCCGCTAAACAAATGCTTGCAAAATTGCTAAATGGCTAATTAATGTCTGTTAATTAAGAAAATTGCTCATGGTAACAAACCATGCCGTTGCTGGCAGCCGCTAGAAAGACACACACTTGTTGAAATGAGTAGCGTGGCAGGTAGGGGAACATCTGCTCTGCGGGTCTCTCCAGAAGTGAGCTGCCTCTCAAGCAGGGCGGTTCTCACAGGCTGGCCCTCCCTGCCCCGCTCAAGGCCCCGCCCAGGCCCCGCCGCCCTTCTGCACGCCTCTCCCCTGCACGTCCATCCCCACCCCACACAGGCTGTGGGTCTGGGCAGTGGGTGGAGTGCTGCTGACTTCTGTGGAGACGGCGGGGTCTTTCAGCGGCGCTCTCTCTCTCTGTGGATAAAATGTAACCACGCTCATCCGCAGTGTAGTTTCGGAAATTTCTCTACACTCCCGAGACTCCTGAGTGTAGGCGTGGAGATGGAAGTCGAGGTGTGGCACCCCTTCACTTACGTTCCCGAGGGTCCGTCCCCACGAAGCCAGGAACTGGGCAGGAGGCACGTCCACCGCCGGGGCCTCCACACTGCCTGGGATGCAGGAGGATGTGGTTTGACATTGTAGCCCAGGCCACGCCCCCACACGCCTGTGTACTTAGAGATGTCCCAAAGGTTGATGAGAAAGAGCCCTTTACAACGCACAGACCCCTGGTAGTGTCTAGCCTCGTGCTTGTGCCCTTATGGGAAGGTGACCAGATGCCCCGCTTTGGGCGGGACAGTCCCGATTTTTAACAATTGTTCCCGCGTCCCGGCGTGTTTTTAAGAAGTCCCGATATTTTGAAAGAACGCACAAGCTAGGGTATACGGTTTTCGGCTGCCATGTGGCTATTTCTCCAGGATATGAGTTTTATCAATGGTGCCCCGCTTTACCAATGTTAAAATCTGGTCATCTTACTTTATGGGTTTTTAAAACAGATGGTGGCTACAGCCCAACCAAATTGATTTCATGACCCACAGGTGGGTTGCAGCCCTCAGTTTGGCCAACCCTGTGGTTTAAGTAACTCCATCTGCCCCTTTGTGTGGTGGGGGAGCAGTGGTCAGCGCAGCCTGTGCTTGGGGGCTGGGAACGGTGGGTACATTACCGTCTGGGACGGGAAGCCCACTCCGCCCAGGCCAGACTCCTGGGGGAGGTCTCGTGGGCCTGGCTCTGCCGCTTTGTGTGGCCATAGCCAAGTTCATTTCCCCTAGAGACTCAGTCCTCCTCTGTAAGAGAATGTAGCAGCCCTCCCACAGGGGTTGCCATGACGTGTACATGACTCAGTGGGCATTGAGGCCCTGGCCCCCAGTCACCTGGTGGTGGGTGCTTGGTAGCTGTTTGTCCCTTCTGCTCCGTGTGCTTGCTCACCGGTGCTGCCTCATCCCTCGGCCCCATCAGGGAGGCCTGTCCTGGCTCCTCTCTCTCTCTCTTCCTGAGACTCCTGGTCTGGGCCTCCCTCCCCGACCTGGAGCCTGGTGTTTGTCCCCAGAGACTGAGTCCCCTGAGGGCAACAACACTCACTCCCCGGACCCCTCACACCCTCTGTGAATGTCCCCTTGAGTCCTGGGCAGATTGGGCCTGGTGGCGCCCGCAGCACTGCCATGCCAGGCCATCACTGTGCTGTTCCCAGCCTGTCCCCACCCACGTCATTAACACGGCAGACCCTGTCCAGCGGTAGACTGTGCCTGCATCCTCGTTCCCCTGTGGCTTGACGGAGGTGCCTGATCTTACCTTTCCTCCCTTCCCACCCCCTGTGGACGTACCCAGTGATCAGCTCCCGTCCCTCCGTGTGCCATTCCGCCGGCCACCCAGACAGCAAGCAGCCCCACCACCTCCCGCCAGCCAGCGCCCGCTCCCCGCACGCCCGCCCCTTCGTTTTGGTTTTAATTTTTGGTTCTTTTAAGCTTCTCCTGCGCTTCTCCATGTGCTGTGATCTGTAACCTGCCTCTACTGTCTGACCTCACAGGGTCCTCCTGGGTCACAGCCCTCGCCGCACGCACAGCCTCCACCTCACAATCCCAGCAGCATGATGGGACCCCACAGTCAGGTAAACGCCCGCCGGCCGGCCGGGGGGCACAGGGCGCGGAGGAAGGCGTTGGCCAGCAGAGGAAAGGCTAAGTGGCATTGCGCGCTGGCCGGGCCTCCGCCGCGTCTTTGCCAACAGACTCCGTTGAAAACGGAAAAAGAAAAGAAACGGCCCGCTTCCTTGCGTTTTCTTTCATTGCTTTTGCTTTTGTTTTTCCTACTCTTTTGAAAGATCGCCCTCATTCCTCGGCCCTGCTCCCGGCCCGGGATCTATGAGCCGAAAGAAAGACTAAATAGTCCAGGACCCTCTCAGCGGCCTCGGCCGTTTTTCGGTTTTGGTTTTGTTTTTGTTTTTGTGCCCCCTCCTCACTTTTGGTTTGTTTTCTTGTTTTTAGTCTTCAGTTTGGTTCACCATCGTTCGTAGCTGAAGCTGCACCCCTAGCCTTTTCCTTTGTGCGCGCTTGCTGCTGTGAGAGAGCTTTCTCGCCCATCTCCCCGCCCCCCCTCCCGCATTCAGCTAGGGAGCCCCCGCCCCCCCTTCCATTGTGTTATCTCCCCCCTCCTCGGACCCTCGCTCCACCACCCCATCCCACCCCCCTGTCGGTGAATTGTGTGTGCATGTGTTCCGCTGTCTTCAGACCCTGGGAACTTTATTTCCCGGGCACCGGTTTACCTGGCCCTCAGCGTCCTCGGCCCAGTCCCCGCGCTGCCCCTCCACGCACAGTAGCTCTCTGTGGACTACCACAGAGCGGGGCAGGCGCTGTGCGCCTCCATCGGCCCCCTGCCTGGAGGGGAGTTGGCAAGCTCCGTGGTGGTGACACAACTGGACTTGGTGGAGCGGAGCGGTGTGTTTGTCACGGTGCTGTGCAGTGCAGGCTGTCACTGAACTGATTCCCTGTCCTTTCAGCCTTTTATGTCCCCGCGATATGCCGGCGGCCCCCGGCCCCCCATCAGAATGGGAAACCAGGTACTGTGTCATTTCCTTCTTCCATGTACTCGGCCACCCGGGGCCCACTGTGGGGTTCTGACTCAGAATCACAC